GGGGAGAGACAGGCAGGGAGGAAAGGTGCTTCTAGGCGCCTGGGCCTGGGGCCTCGGCCTGGCTGTGTGGGGCTTGTGGAGACAGAGTTTGCGGCACCGCCGCTGCGCCATGTCTCAGGTCACACCATCTGCTGAAGCGAGGTGTGCCCGCTGACTTGGCAACCCGCGTGCGGCCGAGACTGTGGGTCTGCCCTGAAGTCTTTGGATAACCACGCAGGGTCCGAAGGACAGGGAAGGGGGGGCGGGGAAACTCCCCGTTTGCCCCAGGTACCCAACAAACGTTTCCTTCCAATATCTGGTCTGAGACAAGTGGGATTTGAGCTACACTACTTGTCGAAGAGTATTGGCCCGTGTTCCCTGAAACCTGCAAGGCTGCTGGGAGAGCTGCAGGCCCAAAGCATCTGCTTGCTTCTTCTGCTCAGCCCTTGCGTTCTCACCCCCGCCCCGAACGGCATTCCTCTGCTGTGCATTATAGGGATCGTGGGCCCACTCCCACCCGGGAAGGGGGTTCGTGGGCCCATTCCCACCCGGGAAGGGGGTTAGGTACCCTTTCCCACAGCGCCCTGGCCGTGGCCGTGGCTCTGTTTCTGCCCTCCTCCCGGTGCCCCTGCACAGCAGCCAAGCCCCACCAGCCGGAGGAAGGATACGGCCTGGGCCCAGAAGCCAGGGATGCACTGGATGATGGCCCTCCGGCGAGCCAGGTGAGAACTCCGCTTCTGATTCCTCCTGCGCTTGAGCCGCACGTAGGCCCTGGTAGCTTGGGCATCCACAGAGCTGAGCGCTAACTGAACATCTTCGAGCGCGGCCAATGGGGCCCCGGCTGGCTCGGGTCCCAGCACTGGCTCTTCCTGCGGCAGCTCCTGCAGCTTCTCGTCCTGCTCTGCCTGAGTCACCTCCTCGTCTTCCACCGCCACGACCTCCACCACCGCCATGATATCCTCCACCACGAACACCAACTCCGCCCCCGGCGCGGCCTCGCCTCCGCACTGCCAGGCCTCAGCCTCCTGCACAGCCTCTGCCGCCATGCCCCCCGCACCTAGGGCCTGCGGCGCCCCCGCCTCGCCCCAGGCGCCTGCTTCCCCACGGGCCCCCGACTCCTCACGGCCCCCTCCGCGGACTAAGGTGGTCCAGGATTCCGGGGCAGCCACACCTTCCCCGGACCACGCCTCGCTCTCCATGGGGCCCTGGACACCCACCGGGACAGTCACAGACGGAAGGAGCTGGACGGGCGAGCACGCGGCGGCGGCAAGCGCCCGGCAGTTGAAGTTCTGGCGCCCTCGTTTGGAGGCGGGCACCAATCGGAGGCCGCGGGCCTGGGGGACGCATGCGCACAAAGGCTTGGGGCCTTGTGGCGCCTGGGTGGCGTGGGGGCGGTGCGCTCCCTGCAGGCTTGTAGCCTTGGCGGGATGTTACCACCCCCCTCACACCCAGGATGCTGAGCGGCCCCGGGGACCAACTAGTAGCACGACGGTGGGCGTGGCCGCAGCCGGCCCCGCCCCTCGCTCCCGCGGGAGCCAGCCCGCAGCTTCATCTCCTCAGGGGTGGCGTCCGTGAATGGACCCTGGCCATTTTCGTCGCTGACACCTCCCATGCCATTCCCGGGAGGTCCCTGCTATCACCAAACTCACGTTCACCTTCTCACCAGTTCCCCTGGGAACACGCTGCTGGCACCGGGGAATTCAAATCCAGCGGCTCAATAGGGTGACCCCCGCTGCCCGGAACCTCACCCGGCCCCTTCTACGTCACACCGGGGGCAAGCCCTGCAGTCATTAGCCGGTGCTCCAACCACTGCCACGTGGCTGTCCACACGGCTTCCAACCCTTTCCCCGCCTGGTGCGGGAGGGAGTCTGGAGGCAGCCCGATGCGGGGTCCTCCCCGCCCCAACGACCCGTCTCTCCTAAAAAGAGACGAACCGCACACAGATAATTGGCCTGGCATGAGCAAGGAGCCAAGGTCCGAGGCCACCTCCGTGCTCACACCACCACCTGCACAGCCCCGGTCAGGTCCGGGATGGATACCCTTTGGCACGCTAATGGGCCGGCCAGCTAGCCTAAACAGTAACTCTGGGTGTGTTGTTTCGTCAAAGCCACTGGTAGGATTCGCTCCCACCGCACTTTCCTCTGCCTGCCCCTTCATCTTTGCTTTCTCCCTCCTTGTCTGACTTCCACGCCTTCCTTCCCTGTGTCTTCCTTCCCGCCTCACCATAACTGCCAGGGATGTCCGAGCTCCAGCATAATGGTCCATGGAGCCTGCTTTCATCCGCCTTCCTGAGGAGCTGAGGCTGTCTATGCTGCCCCGGCTCTGCTGCAAGTTCTTCCTTGGTCTGTCTGTCACTGAGTGGAGTGCCAGTCAGGGAGGGGATGGCAACGTGAGCAGTGGCGGCACACCCTGCCCCTTCTCCAGTACTCAGGAGGCCCTTCTCAACAGTCCCACAACCCATGCCAGTCCGCTGCAGGGAGGCATACCGGAATATGTACGATGCACACCTCCTGAGTTGCCAGGAAGCCCCAGTGGGTGATGGCAAGGACGAGGGTGTTGGTGTGGTATCGTGGGAGGGCCTCACGTATGTAAGAGGAATGGGTCGGGCCGCCCGTGTCGGGAGGGGGTTTTGAGCGGAAGGATGCAGGAGGAAGCACCTTGGCGTGAAGTGCAGGGTTCTGGGTGGTAGTGCATCACTGTTTCAAACTCTACTCGTCAACGCAAACCAGGGACCTTGCAGGGATAACAATGCCGGCCGTCTAGGGGGGGAGAAGCACAATTTTCTGCAACAGTCCCTGACACAGCCCAGACTGTGGGTTTACTGTTACAGTCCAAACTGAATTAGCTCTTGTATATTGCCCAGGGCACTAAAGGAGGGTCCCGAAGAAATTGTGCACCAAAAACAGCGCATCCTTGGAGATCGAAAAGACTGGGGGGCGGGGGGCTGGACAGGGAGAGGGGGAAGAGCAGGAGCGGTGCGGAGAAGGAGAGGAAGAGAGAGGGTGGACAGAGGGAGAGGAACAGGGAGGGAGAGGAGGGGGTGCGAGGGAGAGAGGAGGGTAGAGGAGGAGGCAGGCATGGGGACAGGGAGGGAGGGGGAGGGAGAGAGGGAGGGAGCGAGGACGGGCGGAGGCAGGGAGGGAGGCTGAATTCTCTACATTGCAAAGCCCACAGCCTGAAAAAAAATTCCCTCCTGGACGTCAAGAGGAGATCTGAGAGCACCTGTGGACCTGCAGACAGATCCCCTGCGAAGGGCTCCACAGAGGTCTGCGGGAAACTTTCATGCCCAGCACTGACATGCACGAATCGAGAAGGCCAGAGAGAGGTGGGAGGGAGTTATTGGTGCAGCAAGTCCACGAAGACCTATCGTGACAAGGTTTTACACTTTGCCTGACAACGCAGACTCTGCACATCCAAGGAGCCCAATGTGCTCGTAGCAGAAGGAACGCTCCAAGGAGACGCCCAGGCCACTGAACCAGCTAGGCCAAGACGTACAGAGGTGGGACTGACCCACCACACACTGGGGATCCTTAGGGAGATGAAGAGCCTGCTTCCCCTTTGGATGCACGGAGGCCAGAAGGCAGCACGAGATAATTTCCACAGGTTCAGGGAAAAAACTACTGTAACGTGCAGGCGATGTTCGGCACCAATGACCCAGAAAATGTTCACAAGACAAAAGGAGAAGGAATGGGAGGATGAGCCCGTGGGTCGGGAGGAGTGGGGGAGGGATGGAGGTGGGAGGCACGGATCTATGCTAAGGAGAGTCCTGCCGGCCGAAACGAAGCGGGTCGTGAGACCGTGAAGTCAAGCTGCTAGCCTGAAATAAGGCATCCCCGTAAAGTACACGCATAACAAACACCAGAGCAGGATTTGCGTATGGAAGTACTCTGCGTTGCCTATGGGGCCCCAAAGACAAATGCGTGCAAGCAGGCATCGGTTGGCGTTCCCCGGCTGAGCACACACAGAGCTGTATCTTGGAAGCTGTAGGATGCCCTTCCGTGGACTCATGACAGACAGCCGGGAGCAGGCCCCTCGCGCCTTTCGCCAACCATGTCCGTGTTATCGGCCGACTTGGGTCCCGCAAGCCTAAGGTGTTCACTACAACTGTGAGTGGGGAGAGCCCCGAAGAAGGTGTGTTCAATGTAGATGTGGTAAAGCACTCTGGGTTACAGGAGTTTTGTTCCCTTATTGCCCGTGTTCATGGCCGCGCCACTTCGAGGAAGGAAGAGGTAGCCCAGACAAAGAGCGCTCTGCAGGAGAGGAAAGTTTATTGAGCCAGAGCCCAAAGCTCCCCGAGAGGGCTGCTGGGTTTGCATCAGACTTGGGGGTTCTTTTGAGCTCTTTCCAGGACCTTGAGAGGGGTACCTTGTGGATTCGCAGCCAAGGTGTGGCCAGTCACAGCTTGGATCACGCACCCGTCTCCCATGCTGAAGGGTCCTGTGGGCTGACATCTGGAGACTCAGTGCCTCAGCTTGTGACAGCGACTGATGTTTCATGGTTAGTGGCTTTGTTTCGGATCATGCTGCAACATTCACCCCTGTAGAGGCTGCTAGATTGGATGCTATTGTGGCCTTCAAAGAGGGGTCATACGGAACCGTAGCGTGGGTTTGTCTGAGCTGTCCAGCTCCCTGCTTCCCTTTTGGGGTCGCTGTACCTGACACCCTCAGCATCCAATTGACTCCCGACATCTGGGGCTCCGTGAGCTCCCAAAGCATCCACACCTCCCCTGCCTCACCCTTCCCTCTAGGTCAGGCCTCAACATCATGCCATTGCTCGAGCGATGGCGGGAGTTTCTAAGAGGTGGGGGACCCTGTGCCCACCTCTTCCAGCAGGGTTTACATCCTTGGCAACACACTACCAAATGGCACAAACATACGGGACTACCCTGTGGTGCCCCAAAATGGTCCAGCGTAGGAACCCTTCAGACGATGTGCCAACATGGGAGCTGTCCTGCTCCCACTGAGGATTATGAAGTCAGTTTCATCTGAGCCGCACAAGCAGAGCCAGGTTCTAGCTGGCGGGTACGCCGGCATTTACAGACCAAGAAGCTGAAAAGAAGGGCACCTGGGTGCCTCAGTTGGTTGAGCACCTGCCTTCGGCTCCGGTCATGGTGCTGGAGTGCCAGATCAAGTCCCACGTCAGGGTCCCTGCTCAGCGGGAGTCTTTTTCGCCCTCTGACCGTCTTCGCTCTCGTGCTTTCTATCTCTCAATCTCTCTCTCAATAAATCAATAAAATCCTAAAAAAAAAAAAAGAGACTGAGAAGACCGATCTCCCGTGCAGGACGAGAGCGCCAAGCCTTCCCTCTTAGAGCTTCAGGTGCCTCCAGCCGCCCTGGAAGGGGCAAGGCTAGGTCCTACAGATCATCAATTCCACCACGTGATGCCGGACAGGCGATCCGTCCTTCATACTAAAAGGGACAAGTAGCATCCTTGCAGTTTCACTGCCAAACCCTCCTCCAGGAAAAAGCCGCCGCACGTCCTGGAAGTTGTGGAGCGGGGAGCCTCACGGGCTGGGGTGCAGTGCGAGGGGGAAGGTTAGTATCGCCCATCAGCCTCAGGGATGCTGCCCCTGCAGCCACTTTAGCTGGGGATGGAGAAGAGCCTCGTGGGGCAAACGCTCACATCTCCCCACTCTGCTGGCAGGGGATTCGGTCCTCTGACAGCATCCCTAGGCCCAGTGGTCTCAGGCAAGCAGACGCCCGCTCGGGGGAGGAGCACCCCAGGGGCTAACCTCACCACCTCCCAGGTGTGGATTGCGACAGGTGCTCTGTAGGCTCCAGGTCTTTCCATGGATCTATGCACAGAAAGCTAAGGGATATCAGCCCCAGAGTCATGATGGGACTGACAGCACACGGTTGGTTGGCCCGGCCCTTGCACTTAGCAACTGTGCTACCCCTGCCCCTCCCCTCTGACTCTCTGCACCCTGGTGGACCCCAAACTAGGGACTTAGGGAAACAGGGGGCTAGGGATCCTGGGGAAGCGTGGGTGCGTCTTTGTGTGAGTGTCAGGACGTGTGAGTGAAGGAGCCTGTGGGTGGGTCAGTGAG